CGGAACAGCAGGTAGTTTCGAACTGCTGACCCTGAGGTTCGCAGCCCAATTCGTAACCACTACGCTATCAGAGCTCCTTACTCCAAGGATTATTCCCTCCAAATAACATGTCAAAGTACATGAGACAAATTCTCACCATCCTTACTCCCAAGGAGCATTCTGGCTGTACTTCTCCCAACAAATACTTATTCATTCTTTTCCCAGTTCACGGCACATGCAATATTCTTTACCAACACAATAATTCAAAGGCATAAAGTCTTCTTTATGCTTTCTTATCCCTTGCATAGCTAGAATGACTGCCTGTTGGTCTATGTAAAGTTCTGCATGTGTACAATTAAATGTTCTAGAATTTCCATTCTTTGGAATGTTATCCATAATTTTTATGATCCATATGGTTGAATGCACTTGTATAGTCAATAAAGCACAAGTAAACATCTTTCTGGTATTCTCTGACATCAATCATGAACCACCTAATATCAGCAATGATATCCCTCATTAAACTTCCCCTTCTGAATCTGAATCATATTTCTGGCAGTGCCCTGTCAGTGTTCTGCTGCAACTACTTTTTAATTATCTTCAGTGAAATTTTATTTGCATGGGATATTATTTGCATGGGATATCATTTGAATATTCTGTTGGATCACTTTTTCTTTGTACTGGCCATTAATATGGATCTTTTTCAGTCAGTTGGTCAGCCTACTTTCATAAAGATTACATCCTTGTTTGACAATTCTGTTTTGCCAGTTAGTTATAAAATTGGATGAACTCAACACCAATGGATTTTTTTTTATTTGGTTTTAATGATATTGAGTAATATCATGAGAGAAATAAGTGCTAGAAATAATATGTTCAGCTTTAAGATATATATGATGTCTAGACAGCTATGTTAACAGGAAGTTGGGGTAGGAAGAGTGAAGCTTTTGAAAATAAGATCAATCTTTTTGGAAAACAAAATAGAGAGAGATGATTGAATACAACCATTTGTCAGTGATTCTGATAGAGATTATATGAAATCATAGGAGTGCTTGAATTAAGTGAAGGAAATTAGAGATAGAAATGTCAAGGAATAATCAAGAAGGAAATGTAATTAAGCATTTGCTGTTGTTGTTATGTGCCGTGGAGTCAGTTCTGACTCATAGCAACCCTGTACAGGGTTTCCGAGGTTGTAAATCTTTACAGGAGCAGAACACTTCATCTTTCTTCCACGGAACAGCTGGTAGTTTTGAACTGCTGACCTTTCGGTTCACAGCCTGATTCGTAACCACTACGCTACCAGAATAAAAAGAAATAGACAAGATAAAAAGCAAGACAAGGATATGGGCGATTTATGAGGTTAAATTTTCAAAACAGTAAAATGATGAAAATATGAGGAGGTGTTTTAGTAAATTACCACAGTAAGTAGAAGAACCAGAATGGTTGATTTTCTTAAATTCATTAATAAAAAGACTCAACATTTAGGAAAGTCTAGACTTACTGTGAATCACATAAAAGTTTTAACATGTTCCCCAGGAAAAAAACACAAAACAAAACAAATGAGAACATAAAACATTTAATTCAGGGTCATATTAATCATAAATCATATAAAGTTGGAATCTGTTAATACAACATTGTGAGAAAATAGCAATTTCAACTGACCCAAGGATTCAGCCAATGCTAATCCAGTGGTGTTGTACTGGTGAAGAATATTAAATACAAACAGTCCTGGAATTACAAGGGCAACCTTTACTTGCCCTTTAATGTTATGTAAATTTGCCCACACTTTGAAAGGATTTTGAACCCAGTCCTTCTTGAAAGAACCTTTCTTCACAGTTACCGTAATGTGCTGCAAGAGCAGCTTTTCAATCAATGAAGAGTCTCTTATACTGATGGTGGGTTGTAAACTGCACAGCTATTGTGGAAAGTGGTATGGTGCTTCTTCTTCTTCTTGTAATTAAGTGTCTTTGACTTGGTTCCAATTCATAGCTACCCTGCATAGGGTTTCCATGGCTTTAAAGTTTTGTGGGAGCAGAGAGCTTCTGCTTTTAACCACAGAGTGCATGGTGGATTTGAACCACAGCTTTTGCGGTTTGAAGTCCAGTGTTTATCATATGGAGCCACCACACTCCACAAGGTGCTTCCTTAAAAAGTTTGAAATAGAAACACCCTATGATAAAGCAATCTCACTATTAGTTTTATGTTGTTGTGTTTAGGTACCATCGAGTTGGTACTGACCCATAGCGGCCTTATGTACAGCAGAACGGAACACTGCCCGATCCTGGGCCAATCTCACTACTGTTGCCACTCTTGAGTCCATCAATGCTGCCACTTGGCCAATCCAGCTCATTGGGGGTCTTCCTCTCTTTCTCTGACCCTCCACCTTAACAAACATGATATCTGTCTCCAGTGATTGGTCCCTCCTGACAATGTGAGGGGACTTCAAATGTTCATTAAAAAAAAAAAAATCTCACCTTTAATTCTATTTTTCCACTAGCTTTTGAAGGCCCCTCATATGGCATAGGAAAATATGACCTGTGACATGAACAGATATATGCATATCCATGTTTATCACAACATTGTTCACATTATCTGAAAAATGGAAACAACCTAAGTGTCTATCATTAGATGAATGGCTAAACAAACTATGTACATAAGCACATTGGAATATGGTGCACATTAAAGAATAACAATGAGATTGTGAAGCACACCATAACACGGATGAACCTAAGTGAAAGAAATCAATCACAGAAGGATAAAGATTGCATGAGATCATGATAATAAAAAGTCAGGAAAATGGCTCCCCACAGAAATATACATTCTTTGGGGTTTAGTAGGGATAGTTGAAAGGAGAATATATGATTAATCTGAACGTAGACATGCAGGAAGAAGGATGAAGGGAAATGCAGTAAGGAAGACAGCACAGCATGACCAATGGCAAAATAAACCATTGGGAAGTACAGAAGAATAAAGGAAAATAAGCATAAAGCATGATTAAACACATGATCCTGCAATAATAGTAATAATAAATAACATCTGCAAGTAGCTACATAGGTAGTCATGAAAGTTGAACAGAGGTAAGAAGGTGAATGGAAATACATCCACAAAGCTTGGTAGACAAGCTAATTGTTGTTGTTAGGCGCCATTCAGTCAGTTCTGACTCAATGGTGACCCTGTATAGGGTTTCCAAGTAGTGGTTGGTGGGTTTGAACCACTGACCATGCTTTTAGCAGTCTAGTGTTCATCCTACAGTGTCATACCAGGACCCCATGTTGCTGTTGGTAGGTGCCATCTAGTCAGTACTGACTCATAGCAACCCTATGCACAACAGAACAAAACACTGCCCAGTCCTGGGCCAACCTCACAATTGTTGACACGCTTGAGCCCATTGATGCTGCCACTTTGCCAATACATCTCTTTGGGGGTCTTCCTCTTTTTCTCTGACCTTCCACAGTACCAAACATGATATCCTTCTCCAGTGACTGGTCCCACCTGACAATATGTCTGAAGTATGAGAGATGAAGTTTGTCCATCCTGGCCTCCAAGGAGTACTCTGGCTGTACTTCTTCCAACATAGATCTGTTGGTTCTTTTGGCAGCCCATGACACTTTCAATATTATCCTCCAACACCATAACTCAAATATTCTGCACATGTATTTGTAAGTACAACAAACTTATTCAAGAGTATTATTGAACATATAGGGAGTAAAGTTCTGAAAACTTCTTAACTATAATCAAACCCTTAAAGGAATGACTCACTGATATTGGCAACCTAGGACCATAGTCTTAGGGGACAATGAGAACAATTGGCATAACATAGTCTGTAAAGACAATGTTTCACATCCTGCTTCCGTGAGTAGTGACAAGGTGAGTGACCATCTAAGATAAAACCATTGCTCTCTCCTTGTCCAGAGCATAGAAAAGTGAAAAAATTAGACTCTAGGAAACAATTTGCCCAAAGGACGAATGGATCACAGGAGCCACAGTCTCCATTATTCAGAAACCAGAACAACTAGATGGCACCTGGCAACCACTACCAATTTTTCTGATCAGGATTGCAATAGCATGTTGTTGCTATTAAGTGCCTTATAGCAAGTTCAATAAATAGATACCCTGTATAGAGTTTCCAAGGAGCAGCTGGTGGGTTTGAACTGCCAATCTTTTGGTTCAAATTGACCTTGTGGCCCAGTGCTTATCCTACAGTGCCACACCACCCCTTATCATACTTGTTGTTGAGTCCGTTCCAACTCATTGCAATCCTGTATACATTTTCTTTTTTTCTTTTTTTTTTTTTTTTTTCTGGGTCAGGGTTTTCTTTTTCTTTTTTATGGGTCGTTTTTTTTTTTTTTTTTTGAAATAACTGAAAAAAAAACCCTCCTGGGCTCTGTGGGGCTCCCCACGCTCATGGCCCCCTTTCCCCATACTCACTGCCCTCCCCACAACAAATCTAGTTTAAGAGGACAGCACGTTTTTATGAACAATTAACAGATTCTCAGTTTGCTCTGCAGAACCAGAGGAGCTGTTTGCATCTGTCATATTTACATGGACAGTTTTATTCACATGCTACCAGGTCCCCAGCCACATCCACGCAAACATGGCTTTTTCTACGGTGCTGAGTTAGAACTCCTCATCTTTAGTCCACTCCACTTCCTCCTGCTGACACTCTCCCCATACCAACCATATGTTTAAGAAGGAAGATAGGAATGTTTTTATCAACTCCAAGCCCTAATTCATATGCCCTCAAACCCCCCAAACCCTACCCACCCTCTCAACCCAACCCCCAAAATTTCATTGAGATTTCTCCCAACAGTTGTTTGGGAATAAAGGTAAAATAAAATAGGTTCAAGGTCTTGGTGCTCAGCCCAAGGGGCTCCATGCGCTGGGACACCGACGGGCAGGGGCTTCTGCCTCTCCAGCCCGCGCACGAGCCACCTCCTGACCCCTGGCTGCAAAAGAGGGAGGGGCAGGAGCCAGCACAGGACCCAGGGGGGCAGCGTCTCAGGATCTGGCGGGAGCCCCGGGCAGCATCATTCAACTTGGCCACCCGCAAGCTTGCTGGTGACGAGTGAGGACTTTCTCTGGGGCAGATCCTGTGGGGTGGGGATGTGGTCACCAGTCACCAGGTTCTTGTCTGGTCCTGCACTAGGCAGCTGCTTATTCTTCATCTTGGCTTTGGCCATGTTGTAGTCTCCTGAGTCAAAGTACTTTTGCCCTTTCTGGAGTCTCTTCATGAGGAAGTCAGAGCCTCCAGGCTTTTGTCCTAGGCTTGGATATTTGGCCTTTAACTTTGCCTCCTCGGCTCTTTCAGGGAGAATACCTTCCTTCTCCTGTGTGTCCTGCTTCTCCTCGCCGGTCTCCTCCGAAGGGTTCTCCTCTTCCTGTTTCTGGGACATGGCGGGACCGGGACCTGGAGTGTAAGGGGCCCAGGAAGTCCACCGGTGAAGGGAAAGGGGAGGGGAAACGGGGGATAAGCTGCGCTGCTGCTCCTGCTCCTGTCACTAGGGTTGTTCCTCCTGTATACATTTTCCAAGGAGTGACTGGTGGTCCTTATCATAGAGAGAGAAAAAAAGTAAACAACAAAATTATATAGCATTGAAAACACCAGACTTACTGGTATAATAGAGATTGATGGAACTCCTAAGACAGTGGTCCTTAGAAACTCTTCAAGCCTGTAATGAAGTCACCCCAGGGGACATATTATCAGTCAATAGATGCGTGTTGTTGTTAAGTGACTTCCAGTTGATTCTGACCCTGTATAGGACATATGAGGAGTAGCTGGTGGGTTTGAACTGCTGACCTTGTAGTTCACAGTCCAGTACCAATAAAATGGGACCATGACTGGTATGTCAGTTTGTCATACTGTGGTGGCTTGTGTGTTGCAGTGATGCTGGAAGTTATGCCACCATGGTAGATTTCAGTGGAGCCTCCAGACTAAGACAAACTAGGAAAAAGACAGGCTGACCATTTCTGAATGGTTAGCCACAGAAAACCTTATGAATAGTAGTGGAACATTTTCTGATATCATGCCAGATGATGAGCCTCTTATATTGGAAGACAGTCAAAATATGAGTGGGAAAGAGATACCTCCTCAAAGTAGAGATGACCTTAATGAGTGGCATGGAGCTAAGCTTTCAGGACCATCATTTGCTGATGTGGCACAACTCAACGTGAAAAGAAACAGCTTCAAACATCTATTAACAGTTGGAATTTGCAATGTGTGAAGTATAAATCTAGTAAAATTGGAAGTCACCAAAAGTAAATGGGATGCATAAAGATGGATAGTCTCAGCATTAATGAGCTGAAATCAACTGGCACTCAACATTTTGAACCAGGCCATGATATGATTTACTAAACCTGGGATGACAAATTGAAGAAAAATAGTGTTACAGTCATCATCAAAGAGAACATTTCATGATGTATCTTTACGACAATGGTGTCTGTGGTAGAATAATATTCATATCGCTGTAAGGAAGAACATTTAATACTACTATTGTTCAAATTTGTGCTCTGATTTCTAAAGCCAGTGATGATGAAATTGAAAAATTCTACCATCTTCTTCAGTCAGAAATGAATCACTCATACAATCAAGATGTATTGATAATTACTGATAATTAAAATGAGAGAGTTGGAAACAAAGAGCGAGGATCTATAGTTTGAAAATATGACCTAGTTGATAGACATGATGCTGGAGATAACATGATAGAATTTTGCATGACAAATGACTTATTCATTGTAATTACCTTATTCAATAATAGATAATGCTACTATACACCTAGACCTCACCAGATGTAATACACAGGAATCAAACTGACTACATCTATGGGAAAAGACAATGGAAAGGCTCAATACCAACAACCAAATCAAAGACAGGATCCGACTGATAATGACTATCAGACAGGGTTCGACTAATAAAGATCATCAATTTCTGTTATGCATGTTCAGGCAATGAAAGCAAAATATGATCTTGAGTACATGCCAACTGAATTTACAGGTAGTTTCAAAGCCCGAGTTGATCCTTTAAACATCAAGGGTTAACATCATACCTGAACAGCAAAAGGTCATTAAAAAGGTGGGAGAGAAAGACAAGACCAGAGTGGATGTCAGAAGAGACAGTGAAACTTCCTCTTCATCATAGAGAAACTAAAGCAACTGGAAGATATGATGAAGTAAGAGCTGAACAGAACATTTCAAAGGGCAGCTTGAGAAGGCTAACTAAAGTGTTATAATGAAATGTGCAAACACTTGGTGTTAAAAAGCAAAAAGGGAACATGTGCAGCATTTCTCAATAATCAAAGAAAAGTTTCAAGCTGTATATTGAAGGATTTCAAGGGAAAAATATTGAATTATTCAGGAAGCATCAAGAGTAGATGGAGGGAATACAGACTCACGAGACCAAAATGAACTGACTAATACTCAACCATTTAAAGAGACAGCATATGAACAAAAGCAGATGATACTGAAGGAAAAAGTTCTAGTTGCAATTAAGGCATTGGCAAAAACAAAGCTCTAGGAGTTGACAGAATAAAAATTGCAAACCTTCAACAAACTGACATAGCACCGAAGGCTTTAACTAACCTATGCCAAGAAATTTTGAAGACAGCGACATCGCCAAACAAAGGAAAGAGATCCGTATCTGTGCCCATTCCAAATAGAAGGGAACCAACAGAATGTGAAAATCATCAAGCAATATAATTAATATCACGTGCAAGTAAAATTTTCTGAAGATAATTAAAAAAAAATCTATTAACAGAATATTACATTAATGTTGTACATTAATGTACAACAGTACATTAATTGTGAACTGCCAGAAAATTCAAGCCTGATTAAGACGAGGATGCAGAACAAGGGATATCATTTGCTGATGTCAGCTGGATCTTGTCTGAAAGCAGAGAATACCAGAAAGATGTTTACTTGTGCTTTATTGGCTGTGTAAAGGCTTTTGACTATGTGGACCATGACAAACTATGTATAACATTGTGAAGAATGGGTGTTCCAGAATATTGAATTGTACTCATGAGGAAGTTGTATATAGAAAGAACAAGGGGATACTTAATGGTTTAAATTTAGAAAGCTGTGTACAAGGACTGCATGATTTCACCATAATTATTCAATCTGTTGTTGTTGTTGTTATGTACCATTGAGTTGGTATTGACTCATAGCAACCTTATGTACAACAAAACCAAACACTGCATGGAACTGCATCAACCCTCACATTCACTGCTATGCCTGAGCCCACTGCTGCTGTCACTGTACCAATCTATCTCATTGAGGGTCTTTTTTTCTTCTACCCTTTGCTTTGCCATGACATACTTCTCCATGGACTGGTCCCTCCTGATAATATGTCCAAAATATGAGCGACAAAGTCTGGCCATCTGGCTTCGAGGGTTTATTCTGGTTATACTTCTTCTAGCATAGATTGATTTGTCCTTTTGGCAATCCATGTTTTTAAAATATTCTCCTTCAATGTCATAACTTAAATGCATTGATTTGTCTAGAGTCTTCCTTATTCACTCTCCAACTTTCACATGCATATGAGGTTATTGAAAATACCATGAGTTGGATCAAGCACACCATAGTACTCAAACTGACATCTTTGCTATAGAACACTCTAAAGAGATCTTAGGCAGCAGATTTGCCTACTGAAATATGTTGTTTGATTTCTGACAATAGAGTTTATGGTTGATCCAGTCAAAATGAAGTATTTGGCAACTTCAATCATTTCTCCTTTTATATAGCTGTTGTTTATTAGTTCATTGGTTAGGATTTTTATCTTCTTTACATTGAGGTGCAACCCATACCACAGGCTGTAGTCTTTGATCTGCATCAGTAAGTATTTTAGGTCCTCTTCACTTTCAGTAAACAAGGTTGTATCATCTGCATATTGCAAGTTCTTAATGTATCTTCCTCTAATCCTGATGCTATATTTTTCTTCATATATCCAACTTCTCAGATTATATACTCATCATACAGATTGAATAAGTATGGTGAAAGAATTATTCAATTAGTACCATCTGTATATCACAATTTGCTAAAACTCTTCCTCCAATCCTCATGCCATATTCTTCTTCATATAATCCAGTTTCTCAGATTATTTGCTCAGTGGATAGACTGAATAAATATGGTGAAAAAATACAATTCTGTCACACATCTTTCATAATTTAAATCATTCAGTATTCCCTTGTATTGGTTGACTAGCTGTCTCTTGGTCTAAGTATAGGTACCTCATTAGCACAATTAAGTGTTCTGGAATATTCAGTCTCCACAATTTTGTACATAGCTTGTCATGATCCACACAGTTGGAAGCCTTTGTACAGCTAATAATAAAGCACAGGTGAACATTTTTCTAGTATTCTCTGCTTTCAACCAAGATATATCTGACATCAGCAATGATATCCCGAGTTCCATGTCCTCATCTGAACCCAGCCTGAACCTCTAGCAGTTCCTTGTCAATGTACTGTTGCAACCATTTTTGAATTATCTTTAGCAAAATTTTACTTGCATGTGATATTAATGCTATTGTCTGATGATTTCCACATTTTGTTGGGTGGAAGGACATAAATATGGATCTTTTCTAATCAGTTGACCATGTAACCGTCTTCCAAATTCCTTGTAAAAAAGGAATAAGCTTTCGGTGTTGCATTAGTTTGTTGAAAGATTTCTATTTTTATTCCATCAATTACCAGAGTTTTGTTCTTTGCCAATGCCTTCCGTGCACTGTGGACTTCTTTCTTCAGTAATTTTGGCTCTTGATCATATACTACCTCTTGAAATGTTTAACCTCGACTACTTCTTTTTGGTACAGTAACTGTGTATATCATTCATCTTCTTTTGATGCTTTCTACACGTTTTAATATTTTGTTCATAGAATCCTTTAATATTTCAAGTAGAGGCTTGCATTTTTTCTTCATTAACAACCTGTGATATGTAGATGTTACAACCTTGCCTGCTGATAAAAAAGGAGACTTAAAATACTTATTAATGAAAATCAATGATCATAGCCTTCAGTATGGTTTACATTTCCATATACAGAAAATGAAAACCCTCACCACAGTGATAAGTCCAGTGATTAGTTCGTTTATATTTAATATAATAGTGATTTGATAGGTTGAAAGTTTACCTGCTTTAGGAGGCAGGGCTTGATGATGGATTAGGGAGGCCAATAAACAAGATCATGATAAATAGAGAGAAAAAAGAAGTTGTCAAAGACTTCATTTTGCTTGACTCCACTATCAACATTCATAAAAGCAGCAGTTAAAAAATCAAACCATGTAGTGCATTTTCAAATCTTCTGCACATGGACCATCCTCTTTAAAGTGTTAAAGAGCAGAGGTGTCAGTTTGAAGACTAAAGTATGCCTGGCCCAAGATATAATATGCGTGTGAAAGCTGGACAGTGATTAAGGAATACCATAGAAAATTTATGCATTTGAGTTATGGTGTTAGTGAAGAATATTAAAATTACCAATTGATTGCAAGAACAAACAAATCTATGTT